ACCCTTGGCGGTTGTGGTACGTTTGGCGAATTCGTGCTCAGAAACACGGTGTACATGGTTGCCGGGTCGGCCAGGATATATTGTTTGGGGTTGCCAGTGGTGCAGACGGGGACGGGGACGGGCACCCACGATATTGCTCTTCCTGCTGCAAAGCAGGTGATTGCGGTCCTGCAACTTTTATGTCATAAGAGTGACTCTGATCTACCTCAATGGTCGTTGTAGAGCCATTCCGGCACCGATAGTTTGCCATAAGGCCCACATGACCAATCCCAGCGCAGCATGGTGTATAGCACAATTGCACAGTACAATCTATACGCGATTCCCTTCTTGTGCTCAGCCATACATACTTACCTACGCACATACGCACGCACACACACACGCACGCACGCACGCACGCACGCACACACTGTCCTTCGGCAGTTTGCTGCTCGGACGTCATTGGCATTTGATCCTTCGTATCTTTCTGCATCATCATCATCATCATGTCATCATCATCATCATCATCATCATCATCATCGCATGGTTCCCTCTCCCACTTCGGTTACACTCTTTCCCTGGCAGCAGCTTCACTCGTTCGCGGGGGCTCGTCTTTCCCCCACCACTTCGCCTTCTGTGTGATTCCTCCCCTCTCCATATGATCCCAGACCACCGGGCCAGATGATCCGCTGGAGCTGCTGACCCGGGGACCCCGAGTGCGGCCTGTTGCGGCTGAGGCGGCCCTGGAGGCGCTCTTGGAGGTGCAGGTGGGGGTGATATATGCCCACGTGGACATATGCACGTGCAGGTGCACATGCAGGTGCAATGGAACAACGGAACAACGGAAGCAGTAGGGGGTTTTCTCCCAAATCCCGATCTGGGTTTGCGCTGATCGGGAATTGCCATTTAAACCAGACCGTAGTTGATGCTTATTTGATATTTTTTGAGAACACCGAAAAATTGCACCGATGTCCAAAGCAACCGAGTGGCAGCTGCGCATAGTTCCGGAGCTTGGCGCCTTAAGTCATCGACATGCAGCAGACCCTCCGTTGTATAATCGTCGCCCTTGGGTATAGATAGAGCGAGAGGGCACGATGGGAAAGTTGATGCGTAGGGTTTCAGTGGCGTGTGAGAAAAAGGAAGGAAACCATATTACATGATATGCCAAAGTCAATCAAGGAACAACTGCCGACGCCTGAGGGGTGGTGGTGGACCTCCTTTGGGAGCGCCCTCTCTGAGCTCCCGCTCTGAGCTCGTCTACTGTCCGCCGTACCCACCGCCGCCCGGCCGCAACCTATTGCCTAGTACCCACCCTGCCTACCAGTCGGTCAGATTCCCCACTCACTTCCGTCTGTCCATGCCCACATGCTCGTTTTCCAACCCATCCAATTCTCCGCCCACTCATGCTGGAGCATTCCCAGCTGACTCGTCCCAACCCGCCCAACCTTTCCAAGGACCTCTCCCACCAAATCGATTCTCAGATGCCTTCCCAAACCAACTCCGAGCACTTCTTTGACCAAATTCTGTCCATGCAGGGAGTCAAGCCCACTGCGCTGCTCCGAGCAGCTCTGCTCCCAGGCCACCAACTACCCACCAAAGAGGAGGAGCTGCTGATGCTGCAGGCAGGAGGAGGAGGAGGCGGCGGGGGAGGAGGGGGGGAGGAAGATGAGGCCGCGGCGGCGGCAGCGGCGCGCGGGGACGTGACGCCGCTGAGCCTCCACTCCGCTCGGCGTTACCCGCAGTCCTGGGCATCCGCCACAGCACATGTGGTGCATGTCTACCAGGTGCTGCTGAAACGGTCGCCGTGAAGGTTTTATTGTTCCTGCCTGTCCCGCTCTGGCCCTCCACCTCCCCAGCGGTGAGAGGATGGGGGAATGTAGGGGTTAGGGGCAGCTGGGAGGTGGGAGGTGGGAGGCGTTATGGAACGTGGGTTCAGAGGGCATGGGACGGGACGGGGCGGAAGCCGGAGGCGGAGGTGGTGGGAGTTGAAAGCGATGAACGAGCGATGGGGGGAAAGCGACGCGAGTGAGGTGGGCACACGTGTGAAGTGATCGGCATCTATTTTGTTTCTCTAGCCCTCAATTTTTTGTCATTCCTTGTCTGTGAGCGTGTGTGGTGTGTGTGTGTGTGTGTGTGCACATCTGTGTGCTTAAGTGAGTTCAGGAGCAGTGGGCGGTCGCCGGAAGACCAGATGTGCGGAGGGCGAGCATGGGGAACGTGGGGTCATAGGGGGAATGTGGGCAGGGGGCGCGCCCGCCCTGTGTGGCCGGTCAGTGCGCGTGCATTTCTTTCCGTGATGTGATGTGACCTAGGAAGGTAGCAAGCAGGCAGTCAAGAGCAGCAGCAAGAGCAGCTAGCAGGGGGCCGTGCAGGCATGCACCCAGGCATCTCATCAGCATCCCAGAGTGTGTCGGTGCATACGTGTGCGTGTGCGTGTTAGAGGGAGGGGCTGGATGCGGCATATCGCATCGCATTATTGCGTGTGCATGTGGTTACATGGGCTGGAACGACATTACCGAGTCGCAGGTGCGGGTATTGTGGAGTTGTCCTTCGTGCGAATGTGTTTGTTTGTGTTTGTGTTTATGCTTATGTGTGTGTTCGTGCTTGTATTCGTGCGTATGTATGTGTTTCACTTCGGCCTTCACGTAGTGTGGACTGCGGGTTTGTCTACACAGATCCATCACGCGGGAGTTCGGGAAAAGCACACCCCGGGGCGTTGAGACTTTGTCTTAAGCACGCTGACACACACCACAAGAGCATCCCGCCATGCACTCACCACGCACAACACCATACCGTCTGTTACCATGCCCGTTGAGCTGTCGTGCACCAGGTTATGATAGGTATATAATTGCAAGCTACGTGCACCAGGGCCTGCCTTGCAGCACACACTGATAGAGCTGTCCTCGCGCGAATTACTCTTTTGAATCCGAACCTCGTGGACAGAGAGCGCACCCTTACCAGGATCACAGTAGGCCAGGACCAGGCCATTTGGGTTTTGGCAAGTATGGGGTTTTGACAGCTGCCAGCTGCCAGAGCTAGGGCATATGGGTTTACGATTTCCCAGCACGGCGTAACTCTTATGGCTCCCAGGAGCTGGTGGGTTAGGTTGAGGAGGAGAATGGCAAGCAGCGGGTTCGATGCGCCTGGACTGTTCAACGCTCTGGACTCGGTACGGCTGTCCGGTCTGTTTTGTGTTGCGTCGGCATTAATGCTGCGCCTCGCTGTCATGTTAGGTCTAGCAGTACCGGTACCCGCCATCAGCTCCTTGTGGAGTAATGGAGGGCGCGCTGCTGTCCGTCGTCTTCGCAGGGTGCGTGTTAGGGTGTGTTGTGTGCGTGTATGTGAACGAGCGAGCGAGCGAGAGAACAGTGCGCTCTTACGGCCCGGTGCACGCACATATGTTGTGCATACGTGTGGCGCTAATATGGTAGAGTAGGGGAAACGCTGGTCGGTCAATCGGGGGGACCTGAGTTGCCTTGCTGCGGGTAGGTACTATCCGAGACACCATCTGCGTGTGTCCGCTGTGTATTGTCCATCTTTCCCTCACACCGGGCTAACCCGGTGTGTTAATAAAAAGAGCCTTGGTGAGTTCTGTCACGACATGTTTAGTCGATGCTACAGTCCCTATGATGCGACAGTCCCTTCCCCCCCCGAGTGCTGGACCATGCATGTCCACATGAACCGCAAGAGCAGCGTGGAATCCAACCAACATTTGGCGACGCGCTCTAAACTCATCCTTGCTCAAATCTGACCGCCTTTGGCGGAGTAAGCTTACAGAGCGGACACCTGACACCTGAGGTGGTGGCTGAGGAAAGTGTCTTGCTCCGTGGAGGAGGACTACACACCCCTCACGCACGGGCGGCTCCTGGAAGGTGTGACATACAAACTTTTTGAGTCAAGCATTCCAGCTCAGCAAGCTGCGTGATATTTGCACTCACATCTTATTGTCCTCTTATTCCTAAATCGCCTCTTAATTGCTTTTTGCTAACGTGTGCACCGTATATACACATATCTGGTCTGGGTTGACACTACTGCGATTCGCGGTTTAAGGTCCTGGGTTCGATTCCTGGGGAGACCCCCGAATTAGTCGGGAGCGCGAGATTATGGCTAGCTGCTGAGATGTGGAGTTGAGGTCGCAGTTGATGGACCAGATTCGCACGCTGGATTGGTGGCGATTGCCGAACCCTCCGTCTCTTCGGTTGTTCGGGTGAATGGATGAGGAGGGGTCCTAGACGGCTGGACCCGCCGCCTTGGACTTACAGTTCGTATGGCGAAGTATAGTGTGGTAGTGGTGGATGGTGCTATAAGATGATAAATCGTAGAACTGACAAAGTGATAAAGTGGCCCAGAAGCCTCCCACTCTGTAACATTACATTACATATACACATACACACATATAACGTGTGCACCGACATGTGCAATATGGTAATGTCGGCCTTCTATAACATTCACGCATTCTTGATTGTCTTTCTTCACAAGACTGCTTGTGAAGTCTTCAGAGTTGTTGTTGTTGTTGTTTCCGCACAGGAGAGTTGCGGGAAGACCTGCCTGCTTCCCCCCTGGCCCCACCCAATCATCAGAGCCCAGCAGTGGTCGCCCCTGTCCCTGCAACCAATAGAAGATATCGCAGTCATCCTGGCAATTGATAACAGGCTAACAGGTTGCCGCGCGGGTATCCGACCCGGGCTAATTGTCTTCACCCTAGCTGTGGCGCGGGCGGGCGGGCGATCCAATACAAAGGCGGCATGTACTCGAGGGTGGCCCATATTTCGACAAGATCCAAAAACATATCAGAAGCAGCACGTGAAGGCCTCAAGTATCCACTAGGCACTACCCCTCTGTGATGGTCCATTAAAGCTAGGACATGCTAAAAATCTAGGACGCCACCGACGAGGCCGTTAGGGGTGCATCGAATGAGCACAGATGTTTGTCGTGCAGCCAAGCTACATTTCGGCGCATTTACCTATTAACGAACTCAATGCACGAAAATCCGCGAGTTCACGTCAGATTACCGCCAATCGAAGTCACTTTTCCCAGATGCCGCAGAGCATCACGCAAGAACCCAGAGACGGTATCAGGCGGGTTGACGCCACCTCCGAAACCATCGAGGCGGGTTTGGGCAGCCTTGCGAGCCGGCGCTCCTGCAGCTTGGCAAGGCAAACCGCTGGCATACGCAGGCGCTCCGCCAGGTCCGCAGCGGTATCCAATAGCTCGTCCGGTACGGCAAGCTCGCCGCAGTACATGTAAACGAGCAGCCAGCCAAAGGCAACCGGATCGGCGTCAGGCAACACGAACACGCCTGCGGCGTCATCAGCACCCGCTTGGGCGGCACCGTTGGAACCTGAGGCGCCGTCGCCACTAGCAATGGCCATGGCACAAAGGCGTCTTGGCGAAAGCAGCTCTCTGAAAAATCCGGTGCGTGCGGACAGTACGGCGCGATGGGCAACGAAAGACTTGCGTTCAGCACCCACCAAAATCGTCAGAGTCTGGCCGCCATCGTGGCGCCCCAAACCGACGTACACCTCCCCGCCCCCAGGCGCGATCATTGATGGCGTCAGCGGCGTAGACAGGAGCTCAAAGAGCTCCGCTGCCGCCCCTGTCGCCCTTCCCGCCGTCGCCTTCCTGCCTGTGCAGTGCCGTAGCGGTGGCTGGCCACCCTCTAGGCTCTGCAGGCCGCCTCCCAGCGCGTCAGCGGCCGGTGCGAAACTGCCATCACTGATAAATATAATGGCCGGATTCGTGTATGAGAAGCCGCTTACTGCCAGGTCACCATTCGGTAGTGCCGTCATGAAGCTGCAGCAGTACGGCAGGCAACCGCGGGACAGGACTGTCCGTACATACCCACAGCAGTCCATGACACGTAACGATGTCGCGTCGGCGATGTACAGATTGCGACCCGCACCCGACAGGATGGCATTAATGTTATAAAATTGCGCCGCCGTACCAGCACCGTCGGCGCGACCGTACGATCCCCAGTTGCCCGCCACAAGCCGTGGCGGCAGCGCGCCGCCGCCAGCACCGCTGCCGCTGCTTTCATTATCCTCACCACCGTCTAACCCACAGGAGCCTTCGTTGTACGGCAACGCCACGTGGCAGATTGCGTATGGTGTTGCGGCTACCAGCATGTCGTCGTCGGCGTTGTAGGACAGCGCCGTCCAGTGCATCGCTGGCGGTGCGGAATTCGGCAAGGTCATCACCGTGCCGCTTTCGACATCCAGTCGGCGAATGCGGTCCGGCTCCGCGATGTACACGGCGCCCTTGCCGTCGGCCGCCAGCGCGCTAACCTGACTAAAATGCGCAGCCACGCCAGGACCATCGTCTTCGCCCCAAGGTGGCCGCTGCCGTCGCCGCCGCCGTCGCCGTCGCCGTCGCCGCCGGGCCAGCAGCGACCAGCAGTACGGAGCCCGCCACCGGCCCTTGCGGCACCCGTCTCGACCGGCGACCAAATGAACGGCGTCATTACAATCCAGCTTCATGACAGCCGAGCTGCCCTCTAGGTAGTACACGCAGCCGGAGATCGGTTCAAAGACTGCGAGTCCAGCGTTGTACGGCCCAGATCCGCCGGCAAGGGGGAGTTTGGGACCCAGTTGGAGCGGCGGCTGGCCATCCCCGACGGCGTTGCCGGGCTGCAGCTCCCGGATCTCGTCGCGCAGGAAGATAAGGATCTGGAGCTGGTGTTCGGACTGCTGGTGTTGCTGATGCGGCGAAGGAGTAGTTTGCTCACAGCGGCTGTGCGTCGGGCCGCGAGGCCGCACCACGAGGCCTGTCGCGTGCTTTGGAAGCGATAGTTGCCGGCATTCCAGCGTCATTTGCCTGCATCTGGCCTTTTTCCTATTGCACAAATTTCAAATGACAAAAATGGAGAATTGTTGGCCTAGCTCCGTAATCAGGAGCTTAGCAGCTGACCTGCGCGGTTGGCAAGGCTTGGCAAGGGCCCGCGGGTCTTCACTCTACGAACATCTACGAACGCAGTATTGTATGAAATCTTTGTATGAAATCAGTCTTTAGGGTTCACTTCCCATTACAAAAGCTGGTCACCCTACCTGCTACACAGTGGGGGAATATGGCTGGCGCGCCCGCGTACGACCGAATCTTTTTCGGATCACATAGCCTAAGAGTTGTAAGTAGGCACTGGATTAAGATGATACGGTGAAGATGAGAGCTCCATCGTGCTTTTGGTTCACCTCTGTCCCCGGCTCCAGAAGGTTGACTTGCTGAGCTTGTTGTCAGCGCTGCGGCCAATCCTGTTCATGCTGCAGGGGGGAAATCCTACGTCGCGGGTACGCGGAGAGCAGCCGCAGACGCTTTGTTGGCACGCCTGTAGCCAGGCACGCGCAACGCACTGTTACGGCCCATCTTTGGACAACCTGCATAATCCGGGATAATGTCCTGAATCGTTATAACATCCTGCGTGTCCAATCAGTGGCAAAAGGGACCAACGATAACTAATCGACGAAACGGGCCAGATAGGTGGCATGGCATGGGCTTCACACTGATTCCGCTATAAGACGGCACAAGCGCCAGGTGACCGAAGCGCAGTCTAGCGCCACAAGGCGGGGCTTAGCATCCCCACGCCGCTAAGAGCTCGAAGAATGGGAAAAGGCGATTATTAACAGCGTCTCCAAGCGACCGATCCCCCAAAAACTGCAAGCCCACAGATCGTCAGCGATGCACAAAATTTGGGGCCAGCGAACAGGCCATAGGAAGCTGTGGTAGAATTTGTACGCAAGCGCCCACCTTCACCTCCGACACAGTTTTGAATAGCAAACAGAGCGCGTAATCGTAACAATAACACGCGTGTTTGTTGGATGCACGTTGCGTCCCAGCGCACGGACACGTTACATCGATCCCACTTTTGCTGATTAAAGCAATATCGTTGGGTAGGTTTCCTTAGCGCATGTGTTCCTTTATCGTCGGTGTCTCGGGAAGCTGTGTAGACACCAATCACGTGTAATGAATAAATAAACGACGTCGTTACAGTGGGCTATCCCCGAACAGATCACCTGTTGATGCCGACCGCATATACAATAACCTAAACACTGTATTGGCCAGGCATAAAGGGCCTGGGAGTGCCCTCGAAACCGATGCCAGTGGCGCAGGGCTAGTCGCCCTTGTTAAGGGGTACCAGGGCAAAAACCCCACCACGAATCGCACAGCACCTGGCAACACCAGAGAAGAGCCCAATGATAGATGTACTTCGCGTTGCTGTCAAGCAGCAGCGGCGCGTGAGCCGCCACGGGTGATCTTTGTGCTTGCGTGATGCCGTTGTTGAGGTACGTAGGGCTCCGGTGGTGGCGTCGCGACTGGTGCGTGCGTGGGCGTGGGCTTTGGCGTGAGTGCGTAGTACATGCCGTGATCAACAGGGGTTTGGGTTTTGGGCAGTTGGAGTCTCCGCCTGGTTGGTTGTTGCCTTCTCCGTACCTTCCCCCTGATTTCCATCTGCTGCCGCTGATTACACCTCGTATGTTTCACCTCCTGGAGTTCCGTTACCCTGGAAAGGTGCAATAACGGCCCATACGAGCGGGGTCCCCAAGGGCCACAGCCGAAGGACTGACCGAAATAGATAGCTATCGTAAAAACGCACAAAAAATTCCATTATTTTATCTCTCGAAAAGGAAGTTTATGTCGAACTAACCGAACTGCCTGCCTGTCACTATCCATACTGCTCTGCCGTAGCGGTGATTGCAAATGGCTCTGCGGCGGGGTCTTTTAGGGAGTCTGCCATGCTTGGAGCCTGGGGTTCCGGTACTGGCTGTTTTGGGTATGTTGGAGTTGGGGAGAGCTCATAGCTTTTATTACCTTGTGATGCATTTCATCTTGTGCTTTCATGTTGTCTTTCGTGTCCCGGACGTGGAAACTTTATCGTGACGATTGCCAAGCAAGGTCTCCGCGTAGAGCTGTAGCCCTTCCGTCACTTTCGATCGGTGCCCGGGCTATGCACTGCCGGCTTCTTGTGCTTCCCTTCTCCTGTAATTTTTTCTTCTGGTTTAGCTTTACATTTAGGTTACTACTCCGCTCGACCGTGTGTTGGATTGTTCCACGCGTTTCCGTGTTCGGTTCCCTTTCAGTGCCTGCGCGACAAGATGGAGAACTTTCTTTCGGACAGTGTATGTTACCTAAACAGAGAATGATCGCATTATCGCAACTTTGATTCTTAGCATCTGACTATTGAGTAGTCATAACGGTTGGTTATGCCAGGGAGAGTAATCCTTCCAATGTTATTGCAGTGGGAAATTATTTCGTCCAGCAGGACGCGATCCGCTTTACGCCGGATGAAACGACTGCTTGCTGGCGTTATTAGCATGCATCGTACGGTAATCCATAAACCAATTTAGCAGCAGGCGTTTAAGTGAAGTTTTAATGGTAATACCTTGCTAAGTAGTCAATCAGCTATCTTGACGCTGGTCTCGTACCCACTGTAGCTGCTCGTGCGCCCAGTGGTTTATGTTAGCGAAATTTGGGTAGTAGTTAACAGTGTTTTGTTATATTAATCCAGGCTTGCCGATCTTGTGAACGAAACGAAATTGGACTTGCACCCTGTAAGGCTGGCTTCAGGGAAACCCCTGCAGCTCCTCTGCAGCTACCGGGGCAAATATCTTACACTAGTAAAACAATCTCAGCACTTTAGACTTTGGAATAGTTTTCATTACCAAGAGTTCTTCTGCGGCGGCGTACTTATCGATAAATCAATTACTTATCAATTGATCGAGCGAACATTTTCCCAAAATAATGCCACGACCTGTTCCCTATGACATGGGATGCGTACAAGAAGTGCGTGCCGTATTGCTCTTGGTCCTAAGCATCGCTGTTCTGCTGAGGTGAGCTGAATACCTGCGCTGGCACCGCTCCGACCTTTAATAATCGGACCCACAATCGGAACTAAATCCCTTCTCCACCTTTCAGTTTTACAACCTGCTGGGCGGTTACCCTTACTCCAACTACAAATTGCTCTATCGACGCCCGGACCAACAGATTTTCAATCGCCCCCAACGTCAGCCTTACTGAACTTTTCACGTATTGTATAAAGATACAATCCAACAGCTGCAGCGTTACAGGGAATGCTTGTTGCAAGAACACGACTACGTCATCTCTCCTGATTGACGTTGGTGAGACTTCCGCGACCAAAAGCTTTCCAGGACTTCCCTGGCTTCGTATTTGAGTATTAGGATATACATGCATTTGGCACTTCATCAAAGAAAGAAGCTTTCATCTGTCGTGCGTCTCGGGGGCAATTGTACGTTCTGCGACCTAGTTCAACAGGTGCGACAAATTGCCGTCATAACAGTAAACCCCTTCACCCTTTCCTGGTCCATGGCTCCAGACGAAAACTGCATGTATGAGACCTTCACAGCAACATTGAACGGCAAGGCGGTGAAGGGCGTCACCATCGGTCCGCCCTCAAAAGGCTTCGGCACCCGCGCAGTCCTCACCATCCCCGGTCTCAAACTCGATGCCAAAGCCCTGGGCGCAAATGGCGCTACGGTTTGCATTACGTTACCGAAGGCGTCTGCGTGTGGTTCCGTTGACCGCCTGATCCCCGGGGGTATCAGCAATGCTGCTGCCTGGAATGCGACCCTCCTCAGCTCAGATTTGCGATGCTGTCCTGTCACCTCTCTGCGCCAGCCGCCCCCTGTCCCGTGCGAGACGTGCTGGGTGTGGGATGTTATCCCTGGCAAGAAGACGAGTGGGACCTCGTACGATTTCCTAAGCCGCAACAGCTGTCCCCTGGCTTCTTTGGAGCCCGAGTATATGACGGAGGACTGGAAAAATTGCTGTGAGTTCGAGGGTTACTTTTACAAGCTGAACTACTTAGACGATTTACTCGCCAAGGGCCTTGCCACGGGTTTTGGCAAGGCGGTCTGCAACGCCACCAGCCTGCGGCTTTGCGGCAACTTCACCAGCATGGCAGCGGCACAGGGCCTGGCTTCCGAGCGGGCTATGATGGGCGGACTTCCATTTGACTTTGACAACACGGATGACACGGTACGTGGGGCGTGGCTGTCGATGCTGCGTTGAAAGTACAGGGATAAGATAGGGCGACGGGAGAGCCCTACCTCATCGCCATGCAAAATGGGCCATGCAAATAGGAGTGAGAGGCACGCACAAAATGCATGAATGATTACAATGGTTGCAGGTCGTATGATATGTGCGGCAAATGCAACGAGACAAGGCCGATTAGGGTGTTTGCGGGTAGAAAGGACGCGAATACTTCCACCCGAGTAGAGGATGGGAATGCTGCGTCAGTGTAGTCAATGCGAGCACGAACAAGAAACTAAAGGATAATTATCAACATGCATGTGGGCCATGCACCGGACCGGTATGTAGTACATGCTATCTACGTACACATGCACGAAACAGTAAATTTGTACTTCCACACGGAAATGCGTAAGGAAACCGTGGAAGCAATTCGGGTCCCACTAGAGGCCTAGATTTACAAACCTCAAAGCACATAATTAAGACAGCTGCGTACGTTGGCATTCTGCTGGTAAGAAAATTGAAGTAGGGTTAGTTGTGCTGTAAGTAACTGTCAACTGCTCGCTGTGATGATTACGCTAGCTACCAGCAGCAAACGCATAGCAAACATGTTTCCTAGGTCTGATGAACTTGTACCCCCTGTTGTTAGTGCGCATTTGCACTGAAATAAATGCAATGGATGCGTTCCGATTGCTTGTGCATAGCTCCAATCCCTGAACCCCTTTCCGACTGCGTGCAGTGTCCCATGGGTCTAATTGGCAGCACCGTCCGCCTTCGTAGCGTACAACCGACCACCGGAGCTCTGGATACCCGCTGTGCACCAGTGAATGAGGTCATCCAGGACCTTTGCTGGTTACCGTCACTGAAAGATGACATGTCCGAGGGGATGGTGCCATTCCCCAACAGCACGTGAGTAGTAGTGCGTGTATGTGCGTACGCATGCATATGGTTGGTGTTCATTGAATAGGCCTACAATAATGTTGGGCTCCGCTGGGGGTTGCTGGCTAGGCTACCCACTCACTTTTTAGCCGTACAGGTTACCATTGAACCTGATGATGAACCTTGATGGACTACATATAACGGAAAACGATTGCGAATGGGCTGCACTGTATGGTGCTAAGAGGTTGCTATGACGTGCAACTTGCAGATGCAACTCCGCCCCGGGTGTAACCCCCTTCGCCATGAGCATGTTCTACGAGGTCTCCTACTTCAATAGGACCAGGGATTACTGCATCAACATTACCACCACAACGCCAAAGCCAGCCAAGGTAAGTGTATACCTCTCCACGAGAAGCATGTCTACGTGGTTGCATAGGTAGCTAGGCAAGCATACGTGACAGTGAACGTGAAGGCTGTTTGGGGCGTGTAGGAGCTGGCCGCCGAAAAGGCCTCCGGCTCTCAAGATGCTGGCTGGTATGTGCCGTACTGTACGGCAGCTACAACAGGGCGGCGCGCGATGCCTGCAAACGTTATATATTGCAGCTATAGCGTCATGTATGTTTGAATGGTGCTGCACGGCCCACCTGTGTACGTGCTATGTGCTAACAGTGACCACAGCATGCATGCGGGGCGGGCCTGCCTGCCTGCCTGCTGCTGCTACGGCGGCCAACAGCTATGTAGCTGGGTGTGAACAAGCTAAATAAATTCCACCCGCTACTTCCGTGCACGCACCAACATTTGCACTCCACGTAGTAAACTACTCCACATTCGCTGCGTCCATGCCACTTTGCATTCCACCGCTCCACATATAGTCCACGGCCAGCAGCTCGGGAATTCCGCCTCACATTGCTGCTGGTAAGCCCTTCCCTCTGGTTTGCTTTTCCTTCATTTTCACACCATAACCCCGCCACATGCATGAATCTATATTTCTGCTGCTGCTGGTGCTGCTGCATGATTCTATGGATGGGTGTACGGATGCAGTCTACATGCGCCAACGCCACCATTTTAGACCGCATGTCGTTTTGGATCATTGATGATGACTGGCGGCGGGACATGTACCTGGGGGCCTACCTGCTCACATTGGAGCGGGGGTCCTACACACGGATGGACCTCAACGGTACGTCTTATATATGCAAGCAAAACCATAATTCGTTTACTTGATGAACTGCTGCGGTTCATCGTATATAATACACGTCCATCAGAATGAGGCTAAAATTCTTGGGTACATATCTATAATTATACAGGTATGTAACATGAACATGTTTGTTGACCTCGGTAAATATTCATGATTATGTAAAAGTATTTATCTCACTATAAATTGTATGTGTATGTATTTACCCGTTGCCGTGCAAGGTACATACGTATACATGCAGATAGCGTATATACGGTACATAAAGAGAAGGCGTATGATCATCATAACCAGTAGCCACATACAACACAGCACAAATCGTTACATGTTGATGGTGCAATGATTCTTCCTTGGTGGTAGATTTGGTGCGTGCCCGCAGGGTATTTATTTGGGAGCTTCACCCTCGCACTCTTACACACGTTAACTGACTCACGCGCCCGCATTCTAAATCAGTCTTATCAGCAAGCTACTTGCTTCTAGCTAGTAACCTTTTACCTAGTAACCTTTTACCTAGTAACCTGTTACCTAATAACCTGTTGTCACACTTGCACCGCATATTTATCGTGGAAGCCCCGCGCGCATGTATGCGTGCATGCTTTCGCTCCCGCCATGTGCCTTCATCGTCCGTACATGTACATGCTCCCGTACACGTACAGCTTCATGGGGCAATCTCGGCGAGCAAGTTTACAACGTGCACTCTCTGGGCTTGGATGTAGCGACGGTGAATGCCAAGAAGCCCAAGATATGTATCGTGCGTGACCCCAGTGGACAGCTGTGGTACGACACCGTCAGCGGCATCGGCTATCTCTGGACTGCTCTGTATGATAAAAGCGGCAAGTGTTGCCCGGTGAGTGCGATTTTGCAAATGCATGGCACATTCCACGCCACACTACTCGTCAATGAATTGATGATGTTCCCATTTCAAACGTGACCCACTGGGGAGCGAGATTAATGGCATCAAAACCTCTCGCTAGCTAACTATTGCTTCTGACCAATCCCTGTACAAACAAAACCTGCATGCACCTGAATGAGTACATATGCTGACTCCTTGTGTCGCTGCAGGTCTATTACGCCAATCGCTTTTGAGGGCATACATGCCTAAAGACATGGCTGAGGCCACTCATATTGTTATACTTTGCTGCATCCATGCATAGTGTTGTGATACACGACATGTAGCTGGGGGCTTCCATTTGGCCAGCAGATCTCTCGCGGCGGGGAAAGGTTGAAGGAAAGGAAAAGGGAGGTTTCTTCCAGGACCGTAAGCCATATTAAGGGGCGGCAGCGACGATGAAAGCATTGGGAGTCGACATTGGTCACCGGCAGTCACTGCGGTATTGCATTCTCACGGGGGTATGTAGGGCTTCGGGACCTATTCGTGTAGCACGAAACCGCCCACTGGCATATGGTTTGGACGCCAATCCAATATCAGATAACTGCCTCCTCTATGTGCACACATCTCGGGCTGCTGGGCATGTAACATGCTATGGCATGTGGCCACGAGCAATCATCCAAGACTTCACTGATTAATGGGGTTGTTAAGCTGCACTCGATTTGTGCCCCGACCCGGATTCGAGCCTTGCTATTATTGCAATTCCTCTTCCGTTAATTAGGGAATGGCTTTCCTTGCGATATATGAGTGGAAGAATATTAGTATAAGACCGAGGAGCATGTATCCAATTATGTCCTAAGCATGGGTGATGAAGTCATACACGTCACATGGCGCTGTCAGCATGCATGGGCGGGTGTGCGTGTATAAGTATGTGTGTCTGTATGTGTGTCTAAGCCAGGAGATAGAAGGACGTGCTTTTTAGTATCCTGGGCTTATCACGGGATCTGAATCCGCCGATCGGTACATTTCTGAAGCCATGATATAACAGTGCTGATGGCACGGAAGCACACGTCGTGTATGTGTGCATTTGCATGCGTCTATACATTGCATGTGTAAATACATGTTTTTGTACTGCTGCGCCCAGTTTCGGAGATATCATGCGGGATGCCAGAGCTAGCGGTATGCATCGACACGTTGGATGTCTGTTTGCTGCAGGTAGTGGCTCCCTTAGTCTGCCCTGAGCGGGGGATAACACCAGCATAGCGCTGCGTAATGGTGCAGCTCCTAGCCTACCTGCACCTGGCCTAACTGCTTGCAAGGTAATGCATGCTGTCAGCAGCAAGGTCCCCCGCCCAGTTTGCATCGGAGCTCCCGCGCGGGACATGGGTACGGCGCTGTAGAATGGGGTCACGACTATTAGAGCACAGCCATGAGCTGAGAGTGGTTTGGGGACTGTATCGCTGGGCCGTGATTTCGGCGCCAGTGGTTATCGTGTCCACTCGCGTTTTTAGCTGTGCACGGCTAACAAGGAACGGAAGTATCAATGTCTCGCAGCTGATGCCGTAAGTGCGTTAACGAGCAAGATGCAGATTGCAGCAGGGGACCCCTGGTTTGGCGTGAATGCCGAGGGCTGGGGCTTGAGGGAAGATCTTGAAGTCAGGTGCTGGTTCATCCAGCATCCCAAGTTCTGGTTATCAACAATGCCCCACATGGAGCTCAAGCTGCAATACTGTATTAGCCGTGTAACACGTTACAGCTTTTGGGTCCTCTCAGTCGTAATGTCAAAAATGGAAAGATTTTGAAAGTCAATTTGCATCAGGTTCCGGAGCCGGTGCAGCTTTTACCCCGGCCATGTTAGCAGAGTAATGCTTTTTCCCCCACATTCATCGTTTGTACTTCAGCTAAATGGGTTAACATTTGCGTCGTGGCCTTGTGGCCCTCCTGAGAACCTCGTGACGGACCACACACTTGGACTACAGGGCCGGTTTGCATCTCTGGACCTCATAAGATAGTCTAAAACAGCAGCTGACACCATGGCTTCCGGATGCGTGGTTTTGGCAATTTTGGTGGCCCTGGCGTCAAGCAGTGTTAACTGGGCTGGAGCACAGATTCAGCCTGAGAGAGACCCGGACAAGATTTCACAAAGTGAGCAGCTTGGGTGCTTTGATGATTTCGGCCATCGGTCCTAATGTCGACACGCCAGCACTGGGCTTATGCTACCTTTAGGTCTGAGTGTCATCCAGCCGAAATACTTATACCACGGAGGAAATAAAACTGCGATGTGCGTTATGCATTTTAAAAGTTGGGCTGCGACCCTTATTCGGGACTTAAGTGAGCTTCCAAGGGTGTGAGATAATATTCTACCGGAGCAGTTGGATGTCTGAATCTGGCCCTTGGCTGCTTGTGCCGTCATTAAGAGCACAGATAGGCGGTGGACACAAGACGTTTACCGCAAGAATCGGGCCCCGCTCAGGAGCACAGCTCCCCGTGCCACTGTTTTCACATACGGATGGACGCACCTTCCCACTTATTCCTTCACCATACAGGCTTTCCATGCTTCTGTCCACCTGTGGGCTGGCCGAGCTGTGTTGACACGCACTGCGACCTGAACCCTCGGTGTTCGGATAGCCCCTCCCAGCGATCCATTTTCTTGTTCCTCCGATCTGTGCTTTCCGCCACCCGAATGTTTTTCATTTTGCATCCCCCCAATTCATCTGGGTCGCGCAGTAACTTTCGTTGACGGTGCACTTTTCACGCATGCGTACTCTCCGGTCCCTTTCCCGCACCGCTCTCCCACCGTGCCCTACACACTGCAGTCTGCCGTGTGGCCACGCAGTACGACCCCATCTGCACCAACGGTGGCTATCTCAACGCTCTCTACCGCACCCCCGACTCCAATAGCTGCGGCCACTGTATCTGCCCGCCAGGATGGGCTGGCGTGGATTGCTCGGGTACGAGCCATAATGGGGTTTTAGTTTTTTTTAACATCGCCGCATAGCTTGGCAAACCAGTGGGTAGGGCCCAGCACTAGACACGAAAGTTCCGGTTATGGGGTTGCCATGCGACGAATGGAAATCTGAAAAATAGAGCTTCGTTCCTTCCCCAGTAGCTGCTGGAGGCTGCGGGAAGCGGGATTCCTCACCTCACCTCACCTCACCTCACCGGGAAGCGGGATTCGTCACCTAGGTGTGACGACTTGTCGGCCAATCCTGCCATCAAGTCAAGCACGGTGAAGAGCTCTTGAGTACGGCGCTGGCAGCGTTTTCTCGCTCGAGGAAAAGACAAACGATCGAGCCAGGGTAATCATAGTGCGTGCGCTCTGCGCGCACAGCCATAAATATGGCCCAAGGGTCGTGGCACGGCTCGCCATTGGGGTCGCAGCGTCCCCACTCCCTCGCCTGAGCGGCGGAAGGTCGAGAGCAGATCCGTACGGCTGATCATCCAGATTTGCACCGGGCGAGAGGTTAAAAGAGGTTTCCGGGTCAGCTCCTTGCAATGGCTGCATCTTGGCACTGCGATGCGCTGCATCTTATTCGGTGCGGCTCGTTCATGAACTTCAGGAAGGAGTTTGGTTAATGCTGCTAATGGCAATGCTACTGCTCATTGTGCTGAACTTGTAAATTAGGGTTTTTGCGCTTGTGCGAAAGCTCGTAACTTGTAGTAACTTGCTTCTAATTGCTACGACTGCCGCTCTCGCTGTCCTTCTCGCTCCTCCCGGTCCATCGCTGCGCGACATCTGGTGTTGCGATGTCGGTGCGCAGCGTGCCAGACTGCGGAGGTGTGTCCGCCGCAGCCGATGCCCGACGGCTCCATGCTGCCCGCGGCCGCCTGCACCAGCGATTCTGTCGTACCTACGGACGAGGAGGCTCTGTACGGCAAGGTACGTACATATGCAGTACTGGGTACGGAACGGAGATTGTGAAATTGAGCGCTGCTTTCCCGTAGAGTTATGTCCAGTCCGCATCTTCACATCCTCCCTAGGGGGTTATATCTATATAGACTACAGATTAACGATTATAAGCCATCCTCTACATCCCCCTTGGTGCTCCGTGTGGCTGGGGGTGCGCCAACCTTTCCCCCGCAGACCCTGGCCTGCACTTGCGGCGCGCCTGGGGACGTTTCCACCGAGTTCCTGTGCGCCAAGCAGCCGGATACCAACTGGCTCATCAACTTACTGCCCTCCAATGCCACGGCGAACTGGGCGGCGGGAAACGCAGTCGCGACTGTCATCGAACGGGCCGGCACGCCGGACAATGTGAGCTCTCAGATAGATCCGCACGGTAGTTAGGTCTGTACCTTGCACTACGTACCGCATACCGGGAATGGTTCACCAGCTCTTCATTTCACAGCTCTTCATTTCACAGCTCTTCATTTCGCAGCTCTTCATTTCACAGCTCTTCATTTCACAGCTCTTGTATCTAACGGGCGGGAAAGGACTGTGCGTCCAGGGACTGCTGGAGGCAAGGAAAAAGTGCATGCGTGTAATATGAGGGGGGATGAGGGAAAGGAGGGAAGAGGAAGGCGACGGGATCCTGTGCATGAACTCCTTCATGGCGCCTTGGAGCGCCGCGTTGGTTTATGAAAGAGAGAGAGTGTGTGTGCGTATGTGTTTATGTATGTGTGTAGCAAAGCTGCTCATATGCTGCTGATCCCGACGGCTTCTGTTGACCGTCCGCTCCGCCCCACACCCTGTGTTTGGCCCCACTCCCTAACACCATCGGGCCCCCCCTCAGAGCAACAACAACTATCCGTGCGACCCGGCAGGCAAGGAGGACTGCTTCAATGCAACCCGCTTTGAGTGAGTTGGGGAGGAGGCTGCGCAAGGCGGCCGCTGCATCAGGGAAGGGATGAAATGCTGGATGGGCAGTAGCTAAACTGGGAATAACAAGCAATCCTCAAGAATCTTCTTGTCAGTCTCTGCATGCCCTTGAACTCATATTCCGATTCCCACATTACAAGTCTACTGGAAAACGCAGTCACAGGGTTGCATTTCCCGGCGGTAAAGGTAAAGGTTGGCGATGGCGCGATTATTCCGACTGATTGGCGCAACGTTGCCGCTTTAACATACCAGCTTTCTCTATGTGCGACCACGGGACTGCGTCTCTTCTCCTCCGGCCTCCAAATCTTACCCCTTCCCCGCAGCTACGCTTACCCCGGCGTGTGGGACGGCGTGTTCCGCGGCTGTTCATGGAAGGTGGACGACTGCATAAGCCCCATGACCGGCTCCGACTGCCTGGTTTTCACGTGCGCTAAATCGGAAATACAGTGCCCCGCGTCGTACATGTCAAAATGCCCGGGGTACACCCTCACCAAATGCGGCACAGCGCCCGGCTCGAATATGTGAGTGGGCTGCGGGGCAGCGGGGCTGGAAGGGTGGTGGGGAGGAGGTGGCGGGCAAAAGGGGGGGGGGGATGTAAGATGAACCACGGACGAGCGGCTGTGGCGCAACGTGTGTTGCACGAGGTCGTTGCTGGCGCTAGGCCAGGGATTTGAAAGGGACTTCGTCATCACTATGGAACCCCGTTATGTGACCGCGGCATTAGGCTTCTCTTTGTTGATGTTGTTACAGGGTGGTTAAGCTTCACCAGTGGCCTCCTTCCCGAGGCAGTTCCCTGCTCTCCCCTGCTAGAGGGGCACCCTAAGCCATTCACCCCATCCGACTTCAGAGTGTACTCTTTGAGTTTGGCAACTCACCACCAGCATCCAACCAAATCTAGCGGATCAACGGCGCGTCAACTTAGTTCCTGGTCAGCTCGCGAGTTGATTTTATCACGTCCTACACCGTCCACAAGATGGGGGGCCACCTCCCATTTCATCACCTCTCAAACACCCCGAGAGGTCGGCAGGCGGATTTGAACCCGGACGCGCTGGGACGCGACGGGAGCAGAAGCCAGGCCTTAACCTCTGCCAGCCGCCTGCCTGTCTTTGTATCTGTGCATATAATGCATGCATGTTTGGGGACCCATGTCGGGCCTTTCTTGGACCCACGCTGGCACTTTCCGCCGTCAATGTTTTTTTCATCTTTTTACGTTTCCAAGTTTTTGCTTGTCATACTCCTTCCTAGTACCTTTCTTCGCATCTATTTCGGTTACACCCTCCCCATTCCCACCCATTCACTTTCCCTCTGCCCTCCGCTTCCTCTCCGCGCTTCTTCCATCCATGCCCTTCTATCCATAATCCATAAGGCCCTACTGGATGCACCACTGCCTGCCGGGCACCTACCCCGTCCCGGGCAAGGCGCTCAAGCTGGCGTGCAAACTGAACAAAGACCCCGACGGCACCTTCCAATGCTTCATCACTCAGGAGCGCTCCTACGTGGCCTCATTAGGCATGAAGTGCGTAACTGGCACTTGCCTGTATAGGATGCCGCCACCGTCGCCGCCGTCGCCGCCGCCACCGGAACCGGAACCGCCCGAGCCACCGCCGGCACCGCCGTACAGCCCAGGCACGTCACCGTTGGGTGGACGCTGCTGCAACCTCGTGCGTCTTTTGTTGCTGCTTGACAGCTGTTTTGTTAAGAAGAAACGCGTGATTGAAAAATGGTACAATGTTAGTTATCGTGAATGGAAGCTGCATCATGGAAGTTGGGGCTAGTCATGCTGCCTGGTGTGATGTGCGGCGCCCTGCAACCGTCAAGAGGCGGTGTCACATTGGGCCCCATTGGGCCACTTGGGTCCGGGGCCTCCGTTGGCGGGTAGCTGGGTTGGTGTGGTTGCCGTTGAAGCTTCGTTGTTTTTTCTACGCGCGTGTTTCTTACGGCAGTGGAATGGGAAGTGGAATGTGAAGGATTTCTGTTAGGTGGCCTACTAGCAAGAAAAGAACGAGGAGAGCGCGCGAGCCCTGATCCGTATCCTGATCTGCCGTGGCTTATGCCGCGTGCCGCTTGGGGCTTTCCACAGGCCCCCATGTTGACCCGCCGCCGCCGCCGCCGTACGTGCCGCCGTCGCCGCCGCCGCCATCACCGCCGAGCCCGGCGCCGGCCCCGCCGGCCCCATCACCGCCGCCGCCACCGGCGCCGCCGCCGTACTTCAAAGCCCACACAGAGGCGAGTATGTTGCACTGGTTTGTGTACGGCGCGTACGGATGTGTACGGATGGGATGGTTTCCTCCCGAGGAACTCCGTAGGATCGCCGGCATGCGGAAGCGGCTTTAACTTAAACGGCCATCAAATCCTCCTTCCCCCTCCCTTGCTTGGCATCACATCGTGCTCAAACCGAGGAGCCCTCCGCCCCATCCCCCCCCACCCGCCGTCGACGAACGTATGCACTCCGCGAGAAAACCGATTGCTGTGTACCGTCTCATTCACTACACAGCGAGTATCCTTCTCGAGCACTGCAACAACAAAAACGCAATCAATAACATACGCGCCTCCGCCGTCGTGTTCCTGCTTGCTGCTGCCTGTTGCCCCTAGGTTACTCTCCTGGTGTCCATCGGCGTGGTTGTAGCGGGCCTTATGGTCTCTGCGGCCTGGCTATCGTACCGTGACAATGCATTAGCAACGGCCTGGGCGGCGGCCGCCAGCGGTGGCGGTGGGGCGAGAGGGTCTGGGTTTAATGGAGGCGGCGGATGGCCAGCAGCAGGAGCAGGCGGCGGAGGAGGAGGGGGCTTTGGTGCAATGTTCGGCACGAGGCGGGGAGGAGGTGGGGCAGGTGGCCACCGCCGTGTTCCTTCCGGCGCTGGCGAGGCGGCGGTCCCGCTGCTGCATTCCGGTAAGTGCCTGGCGTGTACGCGCGCGTTTGTGTGTATGGGGTAGCGCGCGTATGCATGGGGGAAAAGACGAAGCACGAGCGAGCGAGCGAGTGTGTGTGGGGGGGGAGAGAAGGGAGGGGAAGGAGGCGGAGAGTGAAAGGGGGTGGGGTCAAAAATGAGGACGCGACTGCTGGCGTTTGACGGCCATTGGCATCTGTGGCTGTTCTTGCGTTCGTTGTGTTTGTTCGCTGTGTGATGTTGTTAAGGGGGGCCCGGTGGGGCGGTGGTTCTACGAATGCAGGTAAGGTGTTGGAGGTGGCGATATCACCGACAGCGGAACGTAGTGGTGTACGTTAAGCGGGTGCTATAGCCAAGGCCGGCCGGCCAAATCGGCTACAGGCGCCCGGGTGGCCTTCGTTGGAGAGCTTGCCGCGCCGCCTAAGTCTTAACCGCCGTTTTGAAAACGTAATTTCATAAACCGCATTATCACTTGAATTGCTGTAGGGGGTTCGAGGACCGGTCATAGAGGAAGAGAGACCCTCCTCCATCTTGCTCGGGTCGCTGCGGCCGCTGCCGCCGCCACTGCCACTGCCGCGCATGCCCCCCTCTTCATGCAAGCGAATCCATCCTTCCTGCCGTGAATAAACCCACCTCAACCCAACTCGTCTCACCCAACCAACCCCAACCAACCCCAATCAACCCCAACCAACCTCACCCGCCTCCAGCGAATCCTTCTCGGATGCCCGAGGGTGACGACGACGCCACGGCGTCCTCGTACGCCCCCGTGTATCACGACCAGTACGACGATGACGACGTCGGCACAGGCGGCGATCCGTACCATGCCGGCGGCGGTGGTGTGCCGCCGGTGGTGCTGTCGTGGCACAACCTGCACCTGCGGGTGCAGAAGGCCTCAGGGGGGACCCTGCACATCCTTCGCGGCGTCAGCGGTATCGCGGGAGGAATGCGGGTGAGCAACGAAGTACGGTGCAGTAGGCAGGGCGGTTTTGCGACGGTGGGCTGTTGGAGAGAGGGGGCAGTTCGGAAAAGGAATGATGGGGGGCAGCACTGGGGACCACTTCCTCGGAGAAGGAATGAGGGAAGACGTTTGTGATGGAAAAAGGTATTCGGTTCGCGCAGGAGGGAAAACAGGAAATTCGAATTATGTCCTATAGCCTTCATGGCTTGCTGTACGGTTGCATTCGGGGTGCCGGATAGGACAGGGCGAGGCGAAACCGGGGCTGCCAAGGGCCTTACACTACTGCAGAGTACTAATTGCTGCTCTCGGAGCGCCAGGGCGCGTGTGCGCCGAAGCGCGGTCTAGCGCCACACGGCGCGGTCTGAGCGCACGCAGCGCTGTCCAGCGCGGCCACACCGGCACGGCCGAAAGAACTGACGCACAGCACTAGACAACTAAACGCAGCATTAATAACTGCGTCCACTGGTCACCCGCCCCGAGGGCAAACCTGAAGCGTCAGCGACGCACGAACCACACCCTGGCCAGCAGGGCTGGCCAGGCGACATTCCTAGCGCGCGACGATACTCTATAGGCACTTATTTGCCGTGCGGTAATCGCTGTACAGCTGCGCGTCCGGCGCTCCGAGGGGACTGCCTAATCACCGGTCTCCAACTGGGCCGAGCCTGCCGCTTTTAAACGAGGGACACTGAGGGCGGGGGGGGGGGGAAGTGAGAGCAACAATAATAATAAGCTCCAATAGTGTAGGCAGAATGCCGGAACTATGGAGCTGTCAGCTGAAATAGTAAATTCGAATTCTCAGCAAGCCATACGGCTGCCGTACATAACCTAGCTTAGAGGCTATACTCGCTTTGCTCCTGCCGCATCTAAGCTACAATTGTGGACAGAACCACAAACGATCATTTTGGTTTTTTCGCGCGGGGGGGGGGGCTTTGGTGGGCTGGGTAGGGTTTGCAAGGCAGCGCAGCACATAGAGGACCTGAGAAGCTAGAGAGTGTGTGTGTGAGAGTGTGTTTGCTCGCGCGCGTCTTCCGTCGGTTCCCGCCTGTTACATGTCACATGCCACCTGTTGCCTGTAGGACGGTTTCGGAGCTCCCTGCAGGACAGCTAACGGCGCCGGTGGTACCGGCGCTGGCGGCCGCATCGTGGGGAGCAGCAGTGGCGGCGGCGGCGGCATGCAGGCGGTTATGGGCCCCAGTGGAGCAGGTGGGTGGAACCTGGGCGGCGGTACTAGCACTGGCAGCTACACCAGTAGGCAGCTACACCAGTAGGCAGCGGCCGCAGCTGTGTTGATAGCATGCATTTTGCATGTGTAGGAGTGTGTGATATTGCATGGGCCTTCTGGGCTGATATCAGCCTGAGACGTTATCCACACATGCTCCGCGCCTTGCTTGAGCCAGTCCGCCCATTCCTAGCTCGTGGTGCCTCCGCCCGGTCGAAGATGACCTGTTTGCCCATCAGTGTGTATGTGTGCGTGGGTGCGTGTGAGGGTGCGTGAGAGGGTGTCTTTCTCTCCCTTCGCTCTCATGAGGTTAGGTCTTTTCGTATTATATTTGTCAGATTTTGCAGCAGTATCGTAGACACAACATGCTGATAGCCTACTCGCACCCGCTCCCAAGCTTCGTAGCCCAGGGCGCGCAGGTTTAGGTGTGCCTTCCTGCAAAGAGCAATAACAGAGGAGGGCAAGTCCGTGGGGATTGCTGGAGATGTCGGGATTTCGGAAAGTGCTCTCCCTCGCATGAAGGCCTGGCAAAGGACGACAAGGTGTGTTTCGTCTGTGTGTTTCTTCATACTTTCTTGCAGGCAAGACCACCCTGCTGGATGTGCTGTCCGGCCGCCGTTCCGGCCCCGGCCGCAGCGGCGAGGTGCGCATCAACGGACGGCTCGTGACGCCGGCGCAGGTGCGGATAGTACGGTCAGACCGCGCTTGAGGTGCCAATAATACCTTTGGTACGCTGCGGTAGGCGTAGTATGGAAGTCACTAGAGCGGGGGGCTTGGCCTGGCTGGGGCTGGGCTTACGGCAACGACTGCTGCGTCGGTCGAGGGCTCCATCCTCCTCCTGGAGTTACAAGACTATAACGGGCCCCGACTCTTCTCTCTCTCTCTCTCTCTCTCTCTCTCTTTCTTTTTACTCGCCCTTTTGTTTTTCCTCTTAACCCCTCGCCTTCTCTCGAGCCTCTCCTTCCACCCACTTCTCTCGATACGTCGGTGTGCTAGGTCCGTGTGGTGTGCGGTTACGTTCTCCAAGACGACGTGCTCCCGGGAACAACATCGGTGTTGGAGTACCTGGCCTTCAATGCGGTGCTGCGCCTGCCACCGCGCCGGTGGGTGGGGGGGGTGGGGGGCTGGGTGGGTGGTGACGGATGAGGCGATTGGTTGGCTGGGTTGCAAGGCACAGGTAGCTGATTACCACACACACAGGGGGTCGTCTGTATGGCAACTGCGTTATGCCCGGCCTCCGGCGGCGGAAGGGCAGGTGACGTGCATCGCGATTGTAGCGGGAGCACGTTAGGGTGCGCCGGCGTGAAGGGAATAGAGAAGTCATTAAGAAGGCGCAACTATATAGCTTCGTCGCTGTTAAGCCCTGTGTGCGTAGCTTTCCGTGTTCGAGCGCGACCTGTGGATGCCACTGTTTTCGAACCCCATAGCTGACGATGCCCTGGCCAGCTTCGTCCGGTTACCATCCGTGCTCTTTGTGCTGTAAGCACACTCATTTGACCACCTTCTCGCCCACGCAACCCTTTCGGGGCGGGGCCCTTCTTTTTGCCGGTTTTCCTACGTCATCATGCTGGATTTGCGGATTTGCGGAGCAGTGTTTGGGCGGTACTAAGCCTTCCCTTTCTTGCCTTTGTTTTCCCTTTTCCGACATCATGTCGATCATACAGCTACTCGCAGCGGCAGCGCGACGCGCGCGTGTGGGGCCTCGTACGGCGTCTCGGCCTGACCAAGGTCGTACACAGCTACATCGGCGACGCGCACGTGCGCGGACTGTCGGGTAGGTCCCGTATGGGGTCGATTATGTCTCTGTTCTTTTCATGTTATGTGGGCGCCGGTTGTGTGCATTTAAGTATAATGTCTTACATCTGGTGGTAATGAGCAACAGAGAGGTAACAATAATTTAACCACTCTATGCCGAAAAAGGGCGTTCTCCTACAGCCATTCAAGCGAAACTGCCCTTGCTGGCTCGACCCCCGCCTCTGGCTTTCGTTTCTATGGACTATCTTGCGCTCTTTTAAAGTTATTGCCCTTCATGTTCGCGCATTTATCTTTGCCTGACTGCTTGTCCTGCCTCTGTTGCTTTCAGGCGGCGAGAAACGGCGCGTGTCTATCGCGGTGGAGTTGCTCACCCGTCCCGGTCTGCTGCTGCTTGACGAGCCCACCACGGGCCTGGACTCCACCAACGCGGCCCGGGTGGTGGAGGTGCTGGCGGGGCTGGCGGGCGGGGGAGTCAATGTGCTGCTGTCCATCCACCAGCCGAGACCCGACGTGCTGAGAGCCATGGACAGGATGCTGCTGCTGTCGGGAGATGGACGCGTGGTGTACGGCGGCGAGGTAGCTTTGGCAGCGGCGCATTTTGCGGGGCTGGGGCTGGGGTTGGAGCCCCCTGGTCCGGACTCTGGAATCAACATTGCGGATTGGCTGCTGGACCTGGTCATCAAGTAAGATGAGGAAGAGAGAAAGGAATTGAGCCAGTCGGCCTGAGAACCAGCGACGTCTCTAAAGAGTGAATATAAATGGGTTAATGGGAGTGATAAATTTGGGCATAAATTTGGCATTTTTGATGGGATGATATATAGTGGTTAGCCGGCGAGCAGACGAGGTTTGGGACATAATGTGAAGAGTTGCGGATGAAGCGTCGCATAGACGCCCTACATTTTATATAATTTTTTATTATAAATACAGTAGTTACTTTGCAGTTACCATGCGTGGCCAGCATAAGTATTCCACATTGCACATTGCAAGGGCCTGAGCAAAAAGGGGAGTTGTGGGAATCGAACCCACGGCCTCTCGCACCCAAAGCGAGAATCATACCACTAGACCAAACTCCCTTAGTCGATAGAAAATGTAGGATAAAAGGGATTATATACGGGTTCGCGGGGCCAACTCCCGCTCCAGCTCCATGCTATGTCCCCTAGAATGGATAGGTTATAGGCTACTCGAGCGAGGAAGTACTAGTGTGGGTGTGTGGTTGTTACAGTAGTGGAATTACAGTGGTGGAACCTTTAACATTAACATTAACATTAATAACATAGCGAAATTATATATCCCGGTCCGGGGTTAATGGTTCAGGTCCATGGATAGTCCCCCATGGCCAAAATATCAATCCTTCTCCGTCCAAAGGGTTTAAGTATTGATGCGTTTAACTATTAAATCCCTGAAAATTCGTTATCGAGTTGCTGTGGCCAAGCAAGTTAAGTTGGTTGGATCTAGCTGGATGTGTACGAGGATGCAAGGGGATTGACGAGTGTGAAAGTGCTGCTGAAGTGCAGGTACTGCACTGCTAATGTGTGTGCTGGATCCATGCGTGGCATGTGTTGGACCTCACGTGTGCACTCCTCTGCGCGCAAGCACCCGTGCCCACATCCTGCTGCTTGTTGCTCAACGTACACTTGAATATTTTGGTATCGACTCCGTTCGCTGTTTATATGCTTAAGCTCAACTTCGGTTATCGATCCTGCCAAGTTGTCTGCTGTCACATCGGTAACTTCTTTTGCCCCCCTCGCGTATGTCCTTGTGCTGTCCTTTGCGCGGCCACGCCGTCGTCGCCCCCGCTGCTGGCTCCCGCCGACGGGCAGGTCCCCCCGAGACGCTGTCGCCGCGATGGCGGATGCCTACCATGCCAGCGCCGCTGCGGCAACCACCGCCGCTGCTGCGGCGTCTCTGGCCGATAGCCCCTTGCTTCTGCCGCCGCCCAAGTACTGCCCGTCGTACTGGCTGCAGCTGCGCGCGCTGTCTGTACGGCTGCTCCGAAATACATACCGCCATCCCTTCAGTGTGGCGCTCAACTTTTTGGCAACGCTGGCGGTAGCAGTGTGCCTGGGGCTTATTTTCCACAACGCGGGTGGGTCGGATTTGAACCCCGGGTACATGGGCGCCCTCTTCGACTTGGCGGATTGGGCGCCGGGACTGGGAAGACAAGTGCCATGGAGTTTTTAAACCCTGTTGTCAGCTAATTGTATTAGCGGGATTTTCGCGGTGCTTTTGCAGGGCTGCTGGACGCGTCCGTTGCGTGAGTAAGGGGCTTTAGTTGTGCCAGCGTCTACCCTGCAACCCCGAGCCCCGAGCATGTGAACAGAATCACGGAAATGGACTTCCATCACGTCTCAAAAGTCTCCTTTGGCATACCCGCGGGAGCCCTTGCAGCTCTCCTTGACCCCGGGTTCTTGACGCGGACGTATTCTCAAATGGCCCCGCAGGCACGGACACGTCTGGCATCCAGAACCGCCTGGGTGTGCTGTTCTTCATGCTGCTGTACCTCAGCCTCATGGCTCTGTCCTCGTTGCCCATCTGGCGAGACGAGAAGCTGCTCTTCATGCGTGAACGGGCCAGCGGCGTGTACGGCACACGTGAGTACGGGGAACATGTTAGGTATTTGCGGCGTCGCTTGGGTTTATCGCTCACTGCACGGTTTGTCTGCGACCGGCGAGGGTGTTCGACCAAGAGAGTCTGACCGTGCTTTTTCCTTCCCGCCCTACTTTTTCAACATCCTGCCCGGTCGCCCCCCCTTGACCCGCTCCGGCTCCCCGACCCCAGCCGCCTACTTTACGGCCGTGGTGCTGTTCGACCTGCTGCCGATGCGAGTGCTGCCACCGACGTTCTTTGCGCTGTTCACGTTCTGGTTGGTGGGCCTGCACCCCTCCTGCGCCACCTGCATCCTCTGGTTCATAGGTAAGGGGGTTGGGTAGGACCCGCGGAATGGTGGGGGGTTGGGACGCGGGGTGAGGACAGCGACGTGACGGATTAGGGACGGCGAGAAAAGGTGCTACTACGCCTGCGTCGTCAAGGGGGTGGAATTACAAGCAAAGGCGTGCTGGTTTTCTGTGAGGACGGGCAATGAATACGCGAGAATATGAACGCTATATGCACAATGGCCGCTGTGTTGGACCGTGCGGCACGCTACCTGTGGCATATGCATACATACATGCATACAGAGATAGACATACATGCATACATACATACGTACATGTGCGCAATATCCTCTTTCCGGCCCCAGGCATTCTAGTCTCCTCCAACATCACCGCAGCCACCATGTGCATGGCCATCGGCGCCGCTGCGCCCTCCAACTCCGTTGCCAATCTGGTGGGCAGCCTGACGCTGATGCTGCTGCTGCTCTTCGGCGGCTTCCTGCTCAACAAGGACTCGGTGCCCTCCTACTGCGCCTGGATCAGCAAGGCCTCCTTCTTCAACTACGCCTATGAGGTAAGGGTGACCCGCACGCAGAGGGGCGAATTCACACATGTGCAGGGAAGGGTAGAGGGAGGTTGTGCAGATGTTGAGAAGTAGATCTGCTGATTCCTGAGAGGGAGAGGAGAAGGGACCGGCCTTCAAGCTCGCGCCTGACAACGCTGTGTCTATTCGCTTTTTATTCCCCCCACATCGGTCGTGGACTGAAAACCAGGCGCTTCGCCGCCGGGAAGCATTACGTCCTCACACGTCCCTCATCATTGCGAGCTCGTCTATTGGCGCCTACACGGTACCATTTCGGGCATTTGAGGCTTTCCTGCACATATAAGCAACTACACACACACACAAGCACCCGTCGTTTGTCCTATATCTTGATCATCAGATTTAAGGTCTAAGAGGTAATGTGCTCTGGCCTATACCCTACGTTGCATAGACCCATCGCGACTCCTGACTGTCTTCCTCCGCCCCAATTCCCCAGGCCCTGGCCATCAACGAGTTCCATCGCTTCCCGCGGGACTTCACCTTCACAGCGCCCATCAAGACGTCCGCGCTGCCGCCGCTGCGGATCAGCGGAGACGGCGTCCTCAAGGAATTTGGGTTCGAGTGAGCTACGGGGCGAGATGAAAAGCGGGCGGGATGAAAGGGCTGTGTAGTGGGAACTGAGAGGGCTGACCGGTTGACTTCTGGGGGAAGAGCACCAAAGTCATCCCCGAAGGGGTTGCCCGGGGCACAGAGAGCGCGCGCGGTGCGGCACGTGGGCCGTTGGGATGGTTGGTGCCATTGGGGAGCTTTGAGGTTTCGGAGCTGTGCGGCGTCGAGCAATTCAATGTTTTGTGCTTTTGAAAGAAGAAACCTCCCTCCGGAGGAGGAGCCCAGACGACGCGACCCGTGATGAAGAAACCCAAGGCACATGATTTCCATCCACCGCGGTTCATATCAATTCAAGAACAGGTTTCTTAAAGTCCCTCTCGCGAATGCTTTGTTCATTTTAGGCCCAGTGCCGCCAGCTTTTTGAGGTCTCTTGAGCGAGGTTTTTTTAGAAACACTCAAAATCACTACCTTGTGCTTCCCAACCAATCGCAGCGTTGACCTCTTTTACCTGGATGTCATTATGCTGGGGCTCCTGGGAGCCGTATGCTGCGGACTGACGTACATTCTGCTGTACTTCTCCGGTGCGTCATTGTTGGTTGATGTCGTACGGTATCGTTCTTGTGTGACGGGCGGCTCTCAAGGTTGCGCTGCCGGTTGTCGCTGTTAGAATGTTAGGTAGTGATTACGCACGCACCGCTTGGGAAGCTGGATATGTAATCCAGGCAGCGGTCCACCTTCATTTGATGGCACTCTTTAGCTTGGTATCAAAAGCCCTTGCACCTGGGCTTAGAAGCGAGGTTATCCGTTACATGTCCAGTACCTACTTGTCGAAGTTCTTCTATGGCGTATTAACTGTTATGTTTTTCCAATAACCATCTAAAAAACAGGTCACTCGCTGCTGGACGATTTCGAAGATCTTACGGGCCGTACAGTCGCCTGGGCTCTTCTCCGCGCCGGCAGAGCCTGGGACGTCGTCGTGTGCCGCGGCGCCGCCTCCGCAGGTCGCGCTGTCAACGCGGTGGTCACACGCCTGCACCGCCGCCGCGCTCGGGGGTCCGGGGCAGGAAACGCAGGAGGCAGCGGCGGCGGCGAAGAAGGAGAAGGGGCAGGAGGCAGCGAGCCGCTGCTGGTTCCGGAGCCCGATTCTGATAATGAGGAGCGTGAGGTCGACGAGGCAAGGTCTGTGGTAACGTGCTCCGAGTCCTTGAGCTCCATGATGTTGCCAATGCCTCCAACGGCAGTACATGGCCAGACTGGGCCCGTCGTTAGGGCACGGCCGCCATCGAGGCAGCTGGTGCTGCCGCCGTCGTCGTCACCGCCACAGCCTCAGCAAGCCGCCTCGACGTTGACGGATCGCGTGGTAAGCATCGACGGCGGCGGCGGCGGCGGTGCGGGAGGCATTATTGGCACATGGCTCACTCAGCAGGTGGCAGCTCCGGCGCCGTCACCGGCGCGATATGGAGCATGGACAGTCTCCGTCGCCTGCGAAGGCCCGACGGAGGCGGGTGGCGGAGGCGGAAGCGGCATGGTGCTGTCCTGGGAGAATGTTTCCGTACGGGTGCCGCTGGGCCGCGGACGAGTGCGGTACATCTTACAGTCCGTCAGCGGCATCAGCGGTCCGGCGCCTCCGCCACTGTCGCGGTCAGGTGCCAATGCACAGGCCAAGCTCGGCGGCGGTAGCGCTGACGGCGACGGCAGTAGCGCTGGTACTACGATGCAGCGGGAGCCGACGGCGGCCAGTCTTAGCCCAGCATCATCGATGGGGCAAGGCAACGGAACGCCGCATCAGCCGCGGGGTTCGGCTTCCGCGCCAGCTATCCTAACCGCTGCTGCAGCACCTGTATCGACAGTCGTACACGTCGTCGGCTGGCCTGGCGTCTCCGCGCCGCCATCCGCCGTCACCCAAGCGGCGGGCGGTACCAATGGCGGCGAATACGCGGCCGCGTTCGCGCAGCCTGGCGGCGATAGCTCGGTCTTCGCCGCCGCTCCCGCTTCTGCCGTACAGCCTTTGTTCATGGCGCCGCCGCACAATGATGGCGACGGTGGTTCAGGCGGCTTCCTGTCCCGCTGGGGCCTTGGCCCGAAAACGTTGTCTCGCTTCGGCTTCCGCCGCCGCGCCGCTGCCGGCATCGGCGGCGGCGCCGGTTTTGGCGCCGTCGGCTTTGACGACAGGATGCATTTGGACCCGGCAACGGCGGCGCTGGGCGGCAGCGGCGGCGGCGGCTCCTTGGCGGGCCCGGGGAGGTGCTGCCTCTTCGCTATCGTTGGACCCAGCGGAGCTGGTAAGTTGTTACCTTTACAGTGCGTGTACGGTAAACCCATTGGGAAGGCGACGGGGGGAAGTCCATAGGAGTTGCGCGGGAGGGGATCGTGACGAGAGTTGTGAACGGCTTCGGACCCAGATGTAGGACCTTGGAGGACGGGGGAGGGGCCGTGACGCCGGGCTAGAATGTAGCGGACGGAGGCACCGTTGATAAGTTAAGTTAATAATTCTGGTTTCGAGTGTGGATTTTAGAGGGGAGGGGGACTTGCTGTTCCAGTCGTTATCCCTCGTGAAAACTCTCGCCAGCACAAACGTCCAGGTCAACAGTGCATGTTCGCCTATTTTTACAGTCCTCTCTGCCTGCCTGCCTGCTGTGCCTGCTGTGCCGCTGTCGTCCTCCTGATCCGCAGGCAAGACCACGCTGATGGACGTGCTGGCGGGGCGGCGGCACGGTGTCCGCGGCGGCGTGAGCGGGGAGATTCGCATTAACGGCCACAGAGTGGGGGCGGCGCAGCTGCGAAAGGCAAGTGCGGCCGTGCACCCCGCAAGTTTGTGTGTATGTATGCCTCTATACGTCTGCCTGTATGTGTATACGCCTATGTATGTATGCCGGCGTATGTATGTCGGAGAACGGGCCTGCGCGAGAAAGGAAAGGGAGGAAGCGCCCGAGGGACGGAGGGGTTTTACTAGGGGGTCAACTGCTGATACACGTCCAGAGCTCTGTCAAACTGCCCTCAGGCGGGAATCCAAAGCAATAATGCAAGGGATACGGGAGGGGATGGAACTGGCAGGTACATCTGCCCATGACCATGCCCATGACCATGACCAGCACCATGATCACGACCAGCACCAGCACCAGCGCCATGACCTACGGCAGAGGTCGCGGCTCGTCTCAAGGTATTTTGCTTTCTGCAGGTTTGCGGCTACGTGGCCCAGGACATCGTGCTTCCCGGCATCTCCACCGTCACCGAGTACCTCACCTTCCATGCCGCCCTGCGGCTGCCCGCGGCCCTGGCGGCTGCCGGGACGGGCCCAGGCTCGCCGGCGGCGACACGTGCGGCGGCGGTGGTTTCAGAGCTGGGTCTTACCCGTGTGGCGCACAGCCTCATCGGCGATGAGTTTGTGCGAGGGCTCTCAGGTGGGTGGGTGGGGTGAGGGCGTGAGGTCCGAGCCTGGCATGCTGGCGGCAGTGGCTGTGGCTGTGGCTGTGCCTGTGCCTGTGCCTGTGCCTGTGCCTGTGCCTGTGCCTGTGCCTGTCTTGTTCGGCGGTAGTGCTTCTGCGTGCAATAAACACTTGAACTTAAGAGCAGCGGGCTGGTGGGAGCTGGCGAGGACACACCACACACACACACAGGGGCGAGTAATTAACTTTTCAGATGAAGTCCAGAATAAAGTCGACTGAAGCAAGAAGTGGCGGTGGGGCTGTGTGTAGGTCGTCAAGCAAGTCTAGGGCTCCGGCTTGGCTAGGTACGCGTACAAAACCTCACGCAGGATTGATTGCTGCTCAGTGGGGGCCTCTTTGCCTCTTATGCCCTCCAATGACTCCGCAAATTTACTTCCCCTGATGCCGCCTCGTCTATCCACTGCGCCATGCTTCTCACGACGCCGTGCTTGAAAGATGCGATGCAAATCTTCGTATCCCTCCTCCCGCCATGGTCGCTATTTCTGTTCTACTTGAACCCACCATTTCTTGGCGCTTTAGATATCGGCAGTTGGCTTCTTGACTCTTCATAATGCAATCTTCCCACCATATGTTGCCGTGTTTGCCTAACTGCTTGTTCTGCCTCTGTTGCTTTCAGGCGGCGAGAAGCGACGTGTGTCTATCGCGGTGGAGTTGCTCACCCGTCCCGGTCTGCTGCTGCTTGACGAGCCCACCACGGGCCTGGACTCCACCAACGCGGCCCGGGTGGTGGAGGTGCTGGCGGGGCTGGCGGGCGGGGGAGTCAATGTGCTGCTGTCCATCCACCAGCCGAGACCCGACGTGCTGAGAGCCATGGACAGGATGCTGCTGCTGTCGGGAGATGGACAGGTGGGCGGCCTGGGCGGGTGGCTGGGTCAGCAACACAAGCTTCTTGGCTGCCGCCCAATCCTCTCCCGTCGACTTCGGCAGTTGTCTCTTCCATTTTGCACATATTTTGCATTCATCTTCACCACCAACTCATCCGCGCATGCATGTTTACCTGCAGTTCATTAGCAGCCAACCAGCCGGAGATTTGTCTTCCCCCATCCACCCACCGGGAATCCAATAACCCGGCGCAGAGCACAGCACAGCACGGCAGGGCCTGCTGAGCTCACATCCGTGCAGCGGCACATAGCGGCGGGCCCTCCTTCCGCCTTCCGGTACCACGGGTCAATTTGGACTTCATCGCTTTGGACTCATTCCCTCCCTGGGGGCAGTTTCGGACTTTGGACGCCTTCCGGCAGTTCAGTTCTGAACTCCTTGCACATGCATATGATTCCCCCCTTGCGCTGGCAGCTGCTTCACTCGTTCGTGGTTCGCCTTTCCTCCCTTGCGCCTCAGCGCCCTGGGCCCCCTTCCCATGCGCCACGTGCAGGTGGTGTACACGGGACCCACAACCCGGATGCGGGAGCACTTCACCTCTCTGGGCTACTCACTGCCGCTGGACACGGCAGCAGTCGCTGGTGAGTGTGAGGCCTGGGGCACGAGGTTGTTTTCTCGCGACGGGAATTTCGGGCTGTGTGTGTGGTGAGAGGGGGGGGGCGCCATGGGGCTGGGGGCTTAAACAGTGGTGTATGGGGTTTGGGGACGTGGTCCACCCGTGTGGTAGGGGGTTGGTTGACGCCGCTAAGCATAAAGCGTTTGCAACCGGCACCATGGGGTCGGTTTAGTCGGGGCCAGTAGGTTTGAATCAATCGGGTTTGTACACGAGCTAACGCCTACCGGCAAATGAAGACTTGGTGTGTCTCACTCCCCCCCTATCCTTGGTTGTTTTCGGGCTTTATTGGGTTCCTTTTTTGGAGGTGTCTGCAGTTGATCCTTTGCTTCTTTCTTGCAAAAGAATATGGGGCCCCCCTTCCGACGATTTCTGCTTCATTCTCCAGTGGTTTTTCTTACCCACCCTTCCGAGCGCTATAGCTATAGCAGGGAGAGGGGGTATCCTGTGGTGGTGGTGGGACCCGTGCACCACGACCTGGACAGCAAAACCAAGCAACCATAGCATAGACACTCTGCTGCCCCGCACTTCGAAGGGGAGGGGAGACCTCGAGCCTCTTTATTGAGCTCGTGTCCATTATGATGATGCCGTGTAGATGCCGTGTTGGATTTGGTTATCCGTGCACCGCTCTCTGAGAGCTCGGCGCTGGTGGAGGGTTGGCGGGGCAGCGAGGTCGCGGCGGAGGATGCGGGCTGGATGGGGCGAGTGCAGCTTGGGGACGCGCTGCTGCACCATCAGAGAGCGCAGGTGCGTGAGGACGCATATTGCACCTGCGTGCATGTAAGCATGGGATTGGTGCATAAACACGCGTTCATGTATGTTTCGTGTGCCGTTCGTTTAGTGGGCAGAAAATTTGTGCCTTCTGCGTGATCTTTGTCCTCGGAATGCTCCGTCTGAGGAGGTGTGTGCTTCACCTTCCCAGTCGTTGCCATGCTGCGACATCACTACTTGCACAGCTAGGGTCATCTAGGACAGCGTAAAATGGTTTGTGGTGTCACCCGGGTCGTCGCTCTCCTTCCCTGGATGCCTCACTCTCAGGCGCTGGCGGGCCTTCGGAAATACGAGAGCTCTTTCGGGCACCAGGTGAGGCTCACGTGTAGTTTTAAAAGGAATTTTTTTAAAGAAACATCGGAATACACAAAGCGCAAAGTCGCAAACATATGCGCCACCAAGCAACGGCTCCTAAGCAATCCGTGTTTTACATCAATGGCATTGAGGGGGGGATGGGCAAGGGCAATTCAGCTCCCGGGCGCCAGCGCCTACGAGCCACTTGCGCAGCGCTCAGCACCCCTACTGCTAAGTAGGCAGTGAATCACAGGATTGCGCAGCTCTCCTTTCCTCCCATTGTCCAAGCTAAAAGGAACGGCCCGCCAGCTGTATTACATGATGGTTCATGTTGACCGCGACCCTTTGCGGAACAGAGGCGTCGGGCAGCACGTGGATATACATACATACGAGGAAGCTCCATGCATCGCCACGCGCCGCTGCCGTTGCTGTGTGCTGCCGTCGCCGTCGCCGCCAATTCCCCCCTCCGTACGCACACACACACACACACTCACGCACAAACCGTCCAACGCCCAATTCCCCGTCCTCAATCGCCGCGGCAGATTGCCGTGCTGAGCAGGCGGCGCGCCACAGGACTTGTACGGCACCCGATGTTAGTGACTCTGCACTTTGTGGCGACTGGGCTGGTAGCCCTGGGCGTGGGCGCCATTTACTGGCACACCGGCCGAGACACGGGGGGCATCCAGGTGGGTGGGTTGGGTGGGCGGGAGGGTGGGTGGCGGTGGTGAGACCCGCACGAGCAATGTTCTGGCTTTTGGGTTTCGGAGCAAAGGTGCAGATTTCCTGCTTTTTTAGCTGTTGACTGCAAGTATTGGTGGGTTGGGTGGAGTCTGGACCTCTGATGGACCCCGATGGACTCCGCGCAATGTGTCCTAGAACGTGGTCTAGTGGGATGTGGTTTGTGGGATGTGGGTTGCGGAGGGCAGTGCGTGTACAATAATTGTTTGGGGGGGAGGGAGTTCCGACGGTTGCGGACGGAGTTAGCGCGTGTGCAAAGAGGGGTCTGGGGCATCATCCCCGAGGGTTTGGATCTAGGGTTGCACCCATGGCAGGGCGGACTGTGTTACGCGCGCTCGCACACATATCCTCTTTGTGACGTCCGCCCAGCTTTCACCTAGCACAACTGGTCTTATGTTCTCAGGGCCGCTTCGGCGCGCTGTTCTTCATGCTGCTGTTCCTGGCGCTGCTGTCGCTGTCCTCGCTGCCTGTGTGGCGAGACGAGGCGCTGCTCTTCATGCGCGAGCGGGCGAGCGGGGTGTACGGCACAGGTACGGCATGGTGCATGGTGTACTACACTCTGCTACAGACTGGTACAGTCGTCGCATATATGTGTATATGTGCTTTGAGCTGGAAAGGGAGGAATGGAGATGTCTATTTGTGCATTGCGGTTCCTCACCGCCGCCTGCCCGCCTAGCCTCCGGATCCAATGCGCCGTTCCTTGATACTCCCGTCCCTCCCCCCACCCCTGCCGCTCCTTCCCTCTCCTCTCACTCGTCCGACTGCCAACATCATTCCTCCCTAGCTGCCTACTTCACAACGGTTGTGCTGTGGGACGTGGTGCCGCTGCGCGTGCTGCCGCCCGGCCTGTTTTCGCTGGTCAGTTACGGCATGATCGGGTTGCGGCCCTCCGCCCGCTCCCTGGCTGCCCACTGGGGGGTGCTGGTGGTGGCCAATATTACTGCAGCCGCAGCCAACATGTCCATTGGCGCCGCGGTGGGGTCTGTTTCCCTGGCAAACATGGTAGGTGGCGGCAAGGGAGGAAGGGTGAGGAATTGAATGGAGGGGAGAGGAAGGAGCTGGTTCGGCATTACACATGGCCTCAGTCGGCTTATGGCTAGGCTGCTGTTGCGCCTGTGGTCCCAAACGGGGGAAACGGCAAGATGGCGCGCTCGGGCTGGGATTGGACCTTCCACCTACATTGCGGTGGAGCTCGCTGCTCTGGAAAGGGAAAAAGCAGGACAAGGATAACGATGGGGGGAAGGGGAGAGCAAGGGGCTTAGATGAGGTTTGCAAGTCTTCTCCCGAGCTTTCCCATCCCGGGCGTTTTCATGTCCTTTCCCCTTCCTTGGGATGCATCGTGGAAGTAGCGCCTCCTCCTATGGGCTCACTCCCATCCGCACTCTTCAGCCCTTCAATACTCTCTCCCTGAACCCGTGCCCGAGCTTTCTCCAAATACACCTCCCCACACATACCCACACACACCCACACGCGCCTGTCTCCGCCCCCCGCCTCAATGCACAGCTGGGCAGTTTATGCGTGTTGACCTCCACTCTGTTTGGCGGCTTCCTGCTTAGTCGCAGCAGAATGCCACAGCTGGTGGCATGGCTGGCGGATCTGTCGTACGTACGGTGAGTCGTACAGAACCAGTTCCTAGTCGTACAGAACCATTTTTCTAAGTATGTGAATGGAGCTGGGTTGGGGCACAACAAGCGGAGGGCATTGCTGCGGCCGTTGTGGTACTGTTTGCTGGAGTGGTGGTGGAGCACATGCGACTGATCGACGGAGTGCGGGAGGGAGAGGTGTGGCAGTGGTGAAGGAGGCGGACCTTCCTCCTGGTAGTTGCCGGTAGTTGCGGAACGAAGCCAGTCGACGGCGGACGTTGATCACGCGCCGTTGCATGCCGGTCATCTCCACTGCCTGAGGAAGGGGATTTTTCATACCTCTCACTCACCTAAAAGAGAAGTAAGAGAAAAAACACTTTCCCGCTCTGTAACCCTGATGGCTCTGTAACTGATTTCCCACATCGCAGTTATGCTTTTGAGGCGCTACTCATTGGCGAGTTCGGCGGGGCAACGGGTTTCCGCTTCACCGGCTACCACCAGCCAGGAACACCGCCTGACGAGGTGCCGTACGTCGACGTCACTGGGGACGAGGTCCTGCAGGTATGTATGTATGTATGCATGTATGTATGTATGCATGCATGTATGTATGTATGTATGTATGTATGTATGTATGTATGTATGTATGTATGTATGTATGTATGTATGTTGCGGCGCGCTGCGGCCAAATTGAATGAGTCTGTGTTGCTAGAGGTGTACGATATATGGTGGTTTATGGATGTGCACGCGCGGCGGGTGGCATGTTTCCTGCATGTTAGTTAAAGTTCTCAGTTGGCCTTTTGTTCATCTCCCTTCGCCAAGTCGTCGTCTCCGATTCCGTAGTGTCCCGAACGAGCAGGTGTAACTGCGGCCTCCACCATCACTCTTCCGGTGGGAATGCCTCAATACGGTGTGTGTATTGTCTTCTTGGAGGATGGGATGTCTCGTGCGTGTACCTTTGTGTGGCACAGCACGTTCATTGTCGCGCACACGCTCTTTGTGTTTATTGTCATAATCCGCTGCTCCCCCTATCACCCGCCGTACATGCCGTATACAGACATTCGGGTTCCGTACGGACGCCTGGTGGAACGACGTGGGCGCGCTGCTGGTGCTCATGTGTGCCTTCCTCACCTCCACCTTCTTGTTGCTGCGTTACCGGGGTCGGCCGTGATGAGGCATGGCGACGATCACATAGATGGTGATGCTGAAATTGACGTTGAAGAATATGAAAAGAAGATGAAGATGAAGATGACGGTGAAGGAGGTGAAGATTATGAAGAAAGATGATGACGACGACGAGAGCAGTCCTGCCTACATCAATGGATTTCGTATTCACACAATGCAAGCCCTCTGACGGTGCCGGCATTAGACGCGCTCGTGGCCTCATGACGGCAGCTTCCACGGCCGCGGTGCCGCTGGGGTAGCCCTCCCCCTCTGCGATACCGAGGGGTTGGTAAGGGCGAACTCGGTTGCCTCCGAAGCAAATTCGGCGTCATGGCGTCTTGTTTAGGGAGCGAATTGGCGAGAGACCAGGGGTCCGAGGAGAGAAAGACGGTGTAGGGGGTTAGGGAACTCAAATTCGGCAGGAGCCTGGGAGGGGCCGAGACAGCGGTCTTACCAGGGTTACTCCATGCCGGCACCCGACGTGGGGTGTGGGTACGTTTCACGAACGGCCATTTTGGGGACACGGGTCGGTTGGGTGTGGGCACCCTGAAACTTCCGTTCTTTGTCTGCAGGTTGGCTGCTGGGTAGTCGTCCGGATGGCCTGGGCGTGGCCATACAGTTGTCGGGGGAGGACGAGACCGCAGCCGACAGGAATCGCCAGGAGTATGAAATCCAAGCGGCATACGAGGTCCTGTTTTACGCAGTCGCCTGCTGCCAGCCAGCAGCCCTAGCTAGTTAGTAGTACTGTGGACCTGGAACTGGCTAGGTGCTGTCCGGCTCGCACACAGAAAGGATGGCCGAGCAGACCGATGGCTTCTGGGAAGCAGCATAGGAGATGCAGAAAAGGAACAGGCAAAGAGACGGGAAGGGATGAAGACAGGCAAAAGCGGATGGGGAACCAATTTTGTGTACTGCTCGCCGAGGTAGCGCCGAAGTGGTCACGTCAGTACTGGGTCTAGGGATGCCGGTTCCAGTTAATGCGCATCGCCGTTTTACTCCACTAGACGTTGCCTTATCTGGCGACGTGTCTTGTGTACCCACACCACGTAAATCAACTAAGCACTTGCTCTTGTAGCGTCTTGTAGTGTCGCAGGTCCTCTGGTAGGTAGGTAAGCGTCGGCGACGTAGCTGCAGCTGTGGTGTCTCGTGTAAGTCAGAGGCTGGATTGGATACGGGATGGCCGTTGTCGGCTGCGCCCTGCTGTAGCAACGTTCCCTGTCCCGCTACACTGATGGACCTGGTTTGCCAAAGTAGGCAACATCAAAGTTGCCGCCTATGTGAGGCATGCATGTACATGCAGCAAGGCATCATGTAGCAAGGCTGCCTATGTATGAGACACACACACACGCACCATGTCTGGTTGTGTTGCCTGTCGAATGGGTTACATAGTTACACAAACAGTCATAGCCATGCGGGGCCCCATGCACGCATGTACGAATGTCTCATTCAAAATCGAATCTATATCTTATACGGCCATTCAATCTCTGACTTCTATATTGAGTCATCAACATCATTCGTCCAGGACGTGAGCAATAGTTCGTTTTCAATACGGTTGGCAGGCACTTATAATGCAGACAGCCAAGCGGGTGACAGAAACTTAAAAGACGGACACATATGTGCCCGCATCATTCGTTTAGTCGGTCGCCATGCCGGCAGCGAACCCTGCACTACTTTGACTCGCATGCCTCGCATGCATGCATGCATGCATCTGCGTGTGCATGCAATGCATATATATACATTAAGCCGCACAGATCTCTTCAAACACGGGGCTACAGCGAGATCGCATGCATGTGCAGGCTGCCCATGCACCGCCACACATGAACCCCCTGAGGTGCCCTGCCCGAAAATGCGTGCACATTCCCTAAAGTAACTCATCTCGTGCGAACTGCTGGTGACCAGGCGCAAAGCATAGGGGGAAGGGACAAACACAACAAGCAAAGACTATGAAAAAACAACCCTGTTTGTTCACAAAAGAGATTATGTCCGGTGACCTGTGAAAAACAGGGCGGGCCAGCCACTTAAGCATTCCATCCGCTTGTAGCACCTTCTCAAATATTAAAACTCATATCTCCTGCCTTTCAAAAGTACCCCCCCGCCGTCTGGTATGACATTCGTAAGGTAAGCACGCATGCTCATGTATGTGCGGTAGTGTCACCGTGCAAAACCGAACGCGCGCTGTATGTTGCAGGACATACTACTTGTCTGCCTCGTCTCGTGATGGAAGCGCTGCCAGATTGGCCTGTTTCGGCCCGCGCAGTCCATCGGGGCCACAGAAAACTTCGCCACCAGCTAGCCCTGCTTGGTCCTAACCGTAAGCTTTTATGCATGCAGGTGTGCGTGCGTGCAGGCAGCATGCATCGCGAATTGCCTCTCATGCTTTCGAACGCAAACAAGCGGGGGCCACGTACAGCGACGAGAGATGCAGATATAATGAAGAGCCCTATGGAACAACCGCCTGTCAGACCACTATGCATACCTACAAATACGCTCGTACACGCACATACACGCACATACACGCATATAAACACATACACACACACCTGACTTGCAAGTCCACACAAAAAGGCGTGCCATCTATATACGTATGGTATTTCTTATGTACATAGGCATGCAAGCGGATAAGAAACATACCAACATGCATTGCCGTATGTACACATGCCCATGCCACAGCTAAATATCCGATATGCGTGTCTGCGATAACCCTACTGATAAAACATGTCTGCACACTCGCATCCTTATATGCAAGAAGTAAAAACGATCAGAAGATTCTGATACGGCCGCTGTCAGCCGGGTAAGGGCACGAGGCCGCTCTCGAGGTGCAACAACTCAGGCCGCACTTCAAAAAGTGCGAGGTGCGGTTCAGGAGGGAGGGTGTGCCGCGTATGTGGGCGGCGGAGGTGGCCGCTCTACATGTGTCGGCTCCAACGGCTGTGGACTCCATGGGGGCTGTGGTGATGAGGGTGATGGGTGAAATGGTAACGAGGGTGATGGGGACTGTGGTGGCGAGGGCGATGGTGGCAAGTGTGGATGAGGCGGGTGCGGAGGTGGAAGGCGTGGCGGCCGAGGGGGAGGACGTGGTGACCGAGGTGAGGGAGGAAGCGGTGGGGAAGGCGGTGAGGGTGGAGGCGGCGGAGACGGGGGTAGTGGTGATGGCGGCTCTGGAGACGGGGGCTCAGGGGACGGTGGCCAGGGCGATGGTGGTGGGGGCGATGGGGATGGTGGTGATGGTGGTGGGTGTGGAGGTCGCGGAGGAGAAGGTGGTTGGGGAGGTGGAAGGCGCGGCGGCCGAGGAGGAGGTCGGGGAGGTCGTGGTGCGGGTGGGGCTGGGGGGGAAGGCGGTGAAGGCGGAGCTGGGGAAGGGGGTAGTGGTGATGGCGGATCTGGAGACGGGGGCTGAGGTGATGGCAGCGGCGGAAGTCCCGGATAAGGAGATGGCGGCGGCAGTGATGGCCCTGGCGGCGACGGAGGATCTGGGGGAGGGGGCGGTGGGGGTGGTGGCCGCGGTGGCGGGAAAGGAGGTCGCGGAGGAGAAGGTGGTTGGGGTGGTGGGAGGCGTGGCGGACGAGGAGGAGGTCGTGGGGGCCGAGGTGAGGGAGGTGTGGGCGGTGACGGCGGTGACGGTGGCAGTGGGGGCGGGGGCTCGGGCGATGGCGGATGAGGCGAAGGCGGATCAGGCGATGGCGGCGGCGGTGGTGGTGATGGGGGCTCTGGCGACGGTGGTGACGGGGGTGGAGGTAGAGGAGGAGGAGGGAAAGGTGGCTGGGGTGGTGGGAGGCGCGGCGGACGAGGGGGAGGTCGTGGGGGCTTCGGCGATGGAGGAGGTGGAGGGGAAGGCGATGAAGGTGGGGGAGGGGAGGGGGATAGTGGTGATGGTGGATTTGGAGACGGGGGTAGTGGTGATGGTGGATTTGGAGACGGGGGTAGTGGTGATGGTGGATTTGGAGACGGGGGTAGTGGTGATGGTGGATTTGGAGACGGGGGTAGTGGTGATGGTGGATTTGGAGACGGGGGTAGTGGTGATGGTGGATTTGGAGACGGGGGTAGTGGTGATGGTGGATTTGGAGACGGGGGTAATGGTGATGGTGGATTTGGAGACGAGGGTAGTGGTGATGGTGGATTTGGAGACGGGGGTAGTGGTGATAGCTCTAACGGCGGCTGTGGAAAAGGCGGATAAGGTGATGGCGGTGGCGGTGATGGGGCGGGTGGTGGTGGCGGTGATGGCGGTGATGGCGGTGGAGGGGACGGAGGTAGCAGTGGCGGAGGTGGTCGCTGTGGTGCTGAGGGAGGTGATGGCAATTGCGGGAATGACGGTGGGGTTGGTGTTGGCGGCGGTGGGGGTGATGGCGACGGTCTCTGCGTGGCCGGGGGTTCAGGTGACGGAGGTGATGGCAGCGGGAAGGACGGCAGTTGAGGAGAAGGCGGGTGTGGAGGTGGAAGGCGTGGAAGGCGTGGCGGACGTGGAGGAGGTCGTGGGGGCTTCGGTGAGGGTGGAAGTGGTGGGGAAGGCGGCGAGGGTGGAGGCGGCGAGGGTGGAGGCGGCGAGGGGGGTAGTGGTGATGGCGGCTCTGGAGACGGTGGCTCAGGGGACGGTGGCCAGGGCGATGGTGGTGGTGGTGGTGGATGAGGAGGAGGGGAAGGCGGCTGGGGTGGTGGGAGGCGTGGCGGGCGAGGAGGAGGTCGTGGGGGCCGAGGTGAGGGTGGAGATGGCGGAGAAGGCGGCGAGGGTGGAGGAGGGGACAGGGTTAGTGGTGATGGCGGATATGGAGACGGGGGCGGTCAGGGGACGGCGGTAGCGGCGGCTGTGGGAAAGGCGGGTACGGAGGTGGCGGTGGCAGCGGTAGGAATGGCGGTGGTAGTGGTGGTGACGGCGATGGCGGTAACGGGAGTTGAGGGAATGACGGTGGGGTTGGTGTTGGCGGCGGTGGGGGTGATGGCGACGGTGGCTGCGGGGCCGGTGGTTCAGGTGACGGGGGTGATGGCAGCGGGAAGGACGGCAGTTGAGGAGAAGGCGGCTGAGGTGGTGGAAGGCGTGGCGGACGTGGAGGAGGTCGTGGGGGCTTCGGTGAGGGTGGAAGTGGTGGGGAAGGCGGCGAGGGTGGAGGCGGCGAGGGTGGAGGCGGCGAGGGGGGTAATGGTGATGGCGGCTCTGGAGACGGTGGCTCAGGGGACGGTGGCCAGGGCGATGGTGGTGGTGGTGGATGAGGAGGAGGGGAAGGCGGCTGGGGTGGTGGGAGGCGTGGCGGGCGAGGAGGAGGTCGTGGGGGCCGAGGTGAGGGTGGAGATGGCGGAGAAGGCGGCGAGGGTGGAGGCGGAGACGGGGATTCGGATGAGAGAGGTGTTAACTGCGGTGGCAGTGGTGACGGCTGCAATGGTATAGAGGGGAAGTGCGGGTTAGGCGGAAGGGGTGATGGGGAGCGCGTTGCAGGTGGCGGAGTTGGGTTCATCGGGGGTGGTGAAGATGGACTGACGGGCGATTGTCTTGGAGAAGGTGGTGAAGAGGGCGGCTGTGGTGGCGGTTCGGGGTTTGGTCCAAGTACCGGTGGTGGCGGGGGTGATACTTCAGGGTGCTGAGGTGACGGCCTGGCAAGCGGCGGCGGTGGCGATC